TGTGGTCAGTTTGTCCTCCAGCAGTCTAAGCCTATAGCAGCAGAACTAAAGGACAGCTCCGTAAACCCAAGCCGACCCTAACTATAGGATTTATCAAAAAAGAAAGTCTTAATCCCATTTTTAAAACTGAACAATGTGTCAGTCTCATGGACAGAAACTGGAAGTTGGTTCCACAAGAGAGGAGCCTGATAACTGAAACATCTGCCTCCTATTCTGCTTTTGGAAACTCTAGGAACTGCGAGTAAACCTGCAGCTTGACAGCGAAGTGCTCTGTTAGGAAAATATGGAACAATATTAGATGGACCTAGGTGGTTGAGAGCTTTGTAGTAGGGGTGCACCGATTGCAGTTTTCTGGCCGATCACGATCTCTTAAAAAGTCTGACCTGCTGATTCTGATTTTGTTTAATAAGCGACGCTGTCGTGTGTTATAAGATCACAATGCACCTTCAATTTTCCAATATTTTATAGAAAAACAGACCCTTGAACAATATCCTAGAAACAATACAAACTTGTTTTAACTGGCCATGAGGTCGTGCTCTGAAATATAAATGAAGTTCAGACAATTGTTGTTAAAACAAAACAAAAAAAAATCTGTGAAATCGGTTTCTCATGCAAGTATCGGCCGATTCCGATTTCCCAAAATTAATGAAATCGGGGCCCACCCCTACTTTGTAGGTTAGAAGTAAAATTCTGAATTCAATTCTGGATTTGACAGGGAGCCAGTGGAGAGAAACTAAAACTAGAGAGGTATGATCTCTCCCAGTAACTCCAGTTAAGACTCTGGCAGCAGCATTTTGGATCAACTGAAGACGTTTTAAAGAAGTATTTGGACACCCAGATAATAAACCGTTGCAATAGTCCAGTCTAGACGTGACAAATGCATGGACCAGTTTTTCTGCATCATTTTTAGTTCAGATGTTTCTAATTTTAGCGATATGGAAGAAGACCCTCATACTGATGTAAATTTGCTTTTAAAGTCTAAAATCTTTTTTCTTTTATATCCTTTTAGAGTGCCAACATGAGCAAAGCAACTTGTGTTAAAAGTGCAAAGGAGGAGGACAAACAACACGCAGAGGTAAACAAGTTTTCCTTCAGCCTCCTCCTTGTACCCATCCATGTTTTTATTTTACCTAAAACATTTAAACGAACAAGTTCTTCCAGCTCTGAAAGTTTTCTGTGTTTCACTGAAGTTTTTTTTTCACTTAGGAATTATTGATTTATTTTTATTTAACATAAGGCTGCAGGATATGGCCAAATCTTTTATCACGATGTATTTCTTAATTTTGGCCGATAACGATATAATTCAGTATCGATATCGACATGCAGCAAACTTCTGTGTTTGCTGCATGTTTCTCTTCTGATGCAGCTGTGGGTGTTTCAGGGCTCAAACTTTGTGCTTCATCTTCTGACTCTCAGCATCTTCTATCGAGTGGAAACTTCAGATGAAACAAGTTAAATGTGTTCTACTTGGAACGACTCTCCGTCACGTTTTGCAGCGCACTGACTGAAACCTGCAGTTTATCTGATCTTAGAAAGCCGAACCACTTCCACACCATTAAATTAGTCTTTCCTCTCATCACTTATGTCAGCTGCTTTCTCTTCGCTTGTTCAGACACATTCTGACGATCGTGGGAACTCATTTTGAAGAGAAAACTTAACGCGCATTATAGATTAGCCTAGCTTGCTAGCCTTCTGGACTCGAGCTCTGCGTAACATCTACGTCACCACGCACTCACGTAGTTGTGTCGCAGCTTTTTCTGTCCGGGTTGAAACTGAGGCGGCCGCTTCAACCCGAATAGAAAAAGAAATGCGTCAGTGAAACGCTGTAATCATATTGAAATATTGAAAATGTGCTTAAAACTCGTATCGCCGTTACTGAATAAAAGTATATCGTGATATAAATCGAATTATTGTCCAGCCCTAATTTAACATTTAACATTTACCGTATTTTTCAAACACTTAAAATCATTTAATTAATCGACAGCGAGCCTTATGTATTAATTCTGGTTGTGCTTACTGACCCCGACCCGATTTTATGTGGCTACTATGAACGAGTTGAATAAAGTTCGACTTATCTGACCCTTTTGTTTCGCTTAATGCGCCTTATAGTCCCAAAAATACAGTGCAAAGATTAAAACATTTGCCATCAATAGTTCTGTTTTTATATTTTATTTCTTCCTCCAGGCACAGGACGTCCATAAAGAAGAGGAGTCAGATATTTTTGATGAGTTTGAGTTTAACTTTGAGGAATTTGTGACTGTTGACGAAATTAGTGAAGACATGAGCGAGGCGGCTACAGACGATGGCTCCTCCATACCTAAACAACCCCCTACCAAAGGAACAGAGGGGAACAGCTCAAATGTGTCCCCTGTTGCCAAAAAGACCTCATCTAAAGACTCTGCTTGCTCCACGTCGTCGTCCAAATCTACAAAACGCAGCTCGTCTTCTCGTTCCACCTCTGAATCGGACAAAAAGCAGAATCGCTCGTCTGAGCACGCCAAAACTAAACCTACAGAGTCTGTTGAAGCCTCGGCTTCCTCTGGTCAGAAAGCTCAACCAAGCAGGACGAAGTCTTCTGCCAGAGCATCACAGTCTTCATCCACAGGTCGAAGTACCCGTTCATCGTCATCTTCGTCAGTGTCTGTCAAGGCAGGAACCCGTCTGTCACATGAAAAGGAGGCTAAACCTCCAGAGCGTGCAGCGAGACAGTCTGGCCACAAGGAGTCAGCAGAGAGCGATGCTGCAAAAACAGTCGAGTCAGAGACAAAACCCAAAACGTCAGGGATGGATGCAGCTGCACAAGGACAGAAGTCAGAGTCACCTACCCAGACCCAGAGCCTGGAGTCTGATTTTGAAGACAAAGCTGCCAAAGACTTGAAGAAAAGTAAAGAAAAAGAAAATGTTGTCGGTACCACAGAGGAAAGGGGAGATTACAATGAGAATGACAGAACGATGCATTCACTTGATGAGAAAACCGATGACCAGGCAAACATGGAAGAAGACAACCGCAACAACAAAACCAAGACAACCGGACCTGAGGAAGACCGTGTTGATAACGATGGCAAAATGGCTCCAGAGGACCACAGGGAAATGGAGATCGATGTCCAAGTGTCTGACAGTGCTGGTAAAAACCAGGCTGCTACAGCTGACGATAAAGACGAAGATTCAGCTGTGATTCAGGCGGAGGAAGTTGTTCAGAGCTCTGACAAACCGTCCGATACGGCCGATAAACATCAAGCTCTAGATCAAGTTACAAGGAGCGTGGAAGATGGAACGAAAGGAAAACAAGAGCAAGAAATTATTTCAAAAGCATTGAGTGAAACCTCTAAAGATGTCGACCAGACGTCTGACGACCAGCTTCTAGAAAATGATGACGGGAAAGAATCTGAACAAGAAGTCTTGGAGACGATGAATTCAGCTGATGGTCGGACCGTACCTGAAGGCGAAGGCCAGAAACCAGGAACTCCTGGTGACCAGATCTTTAAAGCAGATATTGGCTCAACAGAGGAGGTGGAGGAGGAGGTTTACCAAATAATAGATTCTTTAGAGGATCAGCCAACAGAAACGGAATTAGAGACTGACAAGAAACGGCAAACAAGGAAAGGCAAAACAACTTTAAGAGAAGGTAGACCAACCAGGAGTGGTTGCTCAAGAAGCCGAACATCTAAAAATGAAGATGAAGGAAAATCGTCCAAAAAACTGGACAAAACAGTTAAAAAGTACGAGACTCGAACAAAGGACAGCACGACGGGCAAAGAGAAAAAGACCGATCAGAGTAACGAGGAGAAAGTCTTTGAGCTAGTGGACTCCGCTGAAGACAAATCTGTTCAAGAAGCTTCAGAATGTTCTGATGGAAGGCAAGGTGATGGTGAGAAGACGGTGACCTCCATAGAAATGTCTGAACAATCTGACAAGGAAGAGGAAACGATGTACAAAATCTTAGACTCTGTGGAGGACGAGGCTGTCGGTGACAAACCAGCTCTGACACGATCCATCAGGGGAAGAAGTAGAAGAACGGCTGAGCAAGATGCTGAAAAAGACACGAAACAGGACAAGACCCGCACAAGGAGGAGGCACACGCCAGTCACAGATGCACCTGAAACCAGTGGCGTTCCACCAAAGGAAGCCACACCAGCAAAGAACAAGGGTGCTGTCGTAAAGGACACAAGCGAAGAGGAGACGGCTTACGAAATATTAGATGCTGTAGAGGAGGACGTGGTTGAGGAGATCCAGTCATCATCACAAAAACCAAGGAGAGGAAGATCTAAGAAGACCCCCACTACAAAACAAGCCGCTGCTTTGAAAAAGGTTGATACAAGTGAAGCAGCTGAAGAAGAAACGTACCAGATCCTTGACTCTGTGGAGGATGATCAACCTGCCAAAGGTCAGGCTGAGAAGACAGGAACCTCATCGATTAAGTCGCCCAGAAACGAGTTGGAAGAAGAGGCTTTTTATCAGGTTGTAGATTCTGTGGAAGATGATCAACTTGTGTCCTCATCCAAGGAAACATCAGGACGAGCCGAGAACGAGGACAGTCTGCTTCAGTTGGCTGATGATGTCGAGAAGGTCAAGCATGACCCACCTGCACATACAGGGAGGAGGACGAGCACACCAGCGTCAAAGAAGACACGGAAATCCAAGAAAAACGACTCGACTTCAACAAATCTACTCGTCCAACTGGACGTAGCGAGTGAGGTGGAGGATCGCCTCGATACAGCTACATCAGAAAAACAAGAGGGAAAACAAACATCTGCCAGAGAGCCAGGAAGTGAGCGCAGTGAGAGGGAAACTAGGGAGCGAAGGAGCCGAAGCAGCAGCAGCAGAAGAGGAGACGGTAGGAAAACCATGAGCAGAACGAAGGAGGAGCGGCAGGAGAGTGAGGAGAAGGTGGAGGCAGAGCTGCAGGAGCTGGTGACTGTGGATGAGGTGGGAGACGAGACCGGAGAGGAAGGGGTGACTGATGCTCCGAGTTCTGACAGGGAGGTCCTGGAAGGAGAACTGCAAGATCTTCTTACTCTGGACGAGATCGTTGAAGAGGAGAATGAAAAGGAAGAGCACAAGCTCGAGGCTCTCTGCCTGGAGAACCAATCCGTGGCCTCCTCAAAGCCACAGGTCTGGTTGAAATTCAAAATATATGAACGTTTTCTTTTAATTCAGTGGATTTTTAATTTATTCATATAAACCTGCTAATTGTTTTATATCCTTCTTTTTTTAGACTTTGTCAACTTCAGGTGAAGCAGACGACGAGGATACGAAGAACACCTCAAGCTCTGTCAAACGCAAACACGACGGCGACACAGGTTTGTTATTCCTTAGATATAAACTACCGTTACCGTAATTTATTTGCAGTACAGTAGTTCCACGCGGTTCGTTTATCGCGACTCGCTCGATCGCAGTTTTTTCAAAATACGAGTGGACGTGACACACAAGTGGCTGATTGATGGATGAGCCGCACGATTGTCATGGGATTTTTATTTAAAATAAATTAAATTATTTAGCACCTGCTGCACCTTTGTGAAGCCCTTACTGCAGGATAAACTTCCTGCTGCAGCTGATCAGCTGATCTCTGTGCAGAGCGGAGAAGTGGGCGTGGCCAAGAACACTTGCAGGCGGCTGAGAGTAGAGGAGGCAGGGAGCTGAAATCATGACGTTCTGTGTCTTTTAGAGCATTTAGAGTTTAGAAACATTGTTTAGAATAATGCAAGAGTGTGGGAAGGGTTTCAAACACCTTAATATATATAAAATAAACTACTACTACCATTCCTACTTCGCGGTTTTTCACTTATTGTTGGTCTTCAGGGCACGGATAGAAGTTAGTACTTTTATATTACTATATTATTGTACTTTTAGGT